GTCCGTCGTGATTTTTCCTTTCTCGTTTCTGATTCTGTTGATGTGTGTTGACTCTCTTTTTCTCTTAATAAGTCTGGCTAGAGGCTTATCTATTTTGTTTATTTTCTTGAAGAACCAGCTCTCTGTTTCATTGATTTTTTCTATTGTTTTATTCTTCTCAATTTTATTTATTTCTTCTCTGATCTTTATTATGTCCCTCTGTCTGCTGACCTTAGGCCTCATTTGTTCTTCTTCTTCCAATTTTGATAATTGTGACCTTAGACTATTCATTTGGGATTGTTCTTCGTTCTTTAAATATGCCTGGATTGCTATATACTTTCCTCTTAAGACTGCTTTTGCTGCGTCTCACAGAAGTTGAGGCTTTGTGTTGCTGTTGTCATTTGTTTCCATATATCGCTGGACCTCCATTTTAATTTGGTTGTTGATCCATTGATTACTTAGGAGCATGTTTTTAAGCCTCCACGTGTTTGTGAGGCTTTTTGCTTTCTTTGTACAATTTATTTCTATAGTTTTATACCTTTGTGTTCTGAAAAGTTGGTTGGTAGGATTTCAATCTTTTGCAATATACTGAGGCTCTTTTTGTGGCCTCGTATGTGGTCTATTCTGGAGAATGTTCCATGTGCACTTGAGAAGAATGTGTATGCTGTTGCTTTTGGATGTAGAGTTCTATAGATGTCTATTAGGTTCATCTGTTCTAGTGTATTATTCAGTGCCTCTGTGTCCTTACTTATTTTCTGTCTGGTGGGTCTGTCCTTTGGAGTGAGTGATGTGTTAGAGTCTCCCAAATTGAACACATTGGATTCTATTTCCTCCTTCAATTCTGTTAGTATTTGTTTCAAATATCTTGATGCTCCTGTATTGGGTGCATATATGTTTATAATGGTTATATCCTCTTGTTGGATGGAGCCCTCTATCATTATGTAATATCCTTCTTTATCTCATTACTTTCTTTGTTTTGAAGTCTATTTTGTCTGATACTAGGATTGCAACACCTGCTTTTTTCTCCCTGTTGTTTGCATGAAGTATCTTTTTCCATTCCTTGACTTTTAGTCTGTTCATGTCTTTGGGTTTGAGATGAGTCTCTTGGAAGCAGCATATAGATGGGTCTTGCTTTTTTATACATTCTATTACTCTGTGTCTTTTGATTGGTCCCTTCAGTCCATTTACATTTAGGGTGATTATTGAAAGATATGTACTTATTGCCATTGAAGGTTTTATATTTGTGGTTACCGAGGGTTCAAGGTTAGCTTCTTTACTACCTTACTTTCTGTCTTAACTTGCTTATTGAGCTGTTGTAAGCACAGTCTGATGACTCTTTCTTTCCCTTCTTTTTCCTCCTTCTCCATTCTTCATATGTTGGGTGTTTTGTTCTGTGCTCTTTTTAGGAGTGCTCCCATCTAGAGCAGTCCCTCTAACATACCCTGTAGAGGTGGTTTGTGGGAGGCAAATTCCCTCAACTTTTGCTTGTCTGGGAATTGTTTAATCCCTCCTTCATATTTAAGTGATAATCGTGCTGGATACAGTATCCTTGGTTCAAGGCCCTTCTGTTTCATTGCATTAAACATGTCGTGTCATTCTCTTCTGGCCTGTAAGGTTTCTGTTGAGAAGTCTGATGATAGCCTGATGGGTTTTCCTTTGCAGGTGACCTTTTTTCTCTCTCTGTCTTCCTTCAACACTCTTTCCTTGTCCTTGATGTTTGCCATTGTAATTATTATGTGTCTTGATGTTGTCCTCTTTGGGTCCCTTCTGTTGGAAGTTCTGTGTGCTTCCATAGTCTGAGCAACTATTTCCTCCCCCAGTTTGGGGAAGTTCTCAGCAATTATTTCTTCAAAGACACTTTCTATCCCTTTTTCTCTCTCTTCTTCCTCTGGTACCCCTATAAACTGAATATTGTTCCTTTTGGATTGGTCACACAGTTCTCTTAATATTGTTTCATTCCTGGAGATCCTTTTATTTCTCTCTGCATCAGCTTCAATGCTTTCCTGTTCTCTGGTTTCTATTCCATCAATGGCCTCTTGCATCTATCCATTCTGCTTATAAATCCTTCCAGAGATAGTTTCATTTCTCTAATCTCCCTCCAGACGTCATCCTTTAGCTCTTGTATATTTCTCTGCAGCTCCATCAGCATGTTTATGATTTTTATTTTAATTTCTTTTTCAGGGAGACTGGTTAGGTCTGTCTCTGCAGATCCTCTCTCAGGGGTTGTCTGGACTATTTTGGGCTGGACTAAATTTTTTTGCCTTTTCATGGTGATAGCAGTGGCTGTAGTCATGTTCTGGGGGTTTCAGCTGGGAGAAGAAAGTCCTTTCCTGTTTTCTGGATGCCTTGCCCTTCTCTGCTGCCTGTGTTGGTTACCCGCACTCCTGGAGCAGCCAGCAGGTTAATCCCCTAAGCTGCTGTGGGCGGAGTCTCCATCAGAGCAGTGCAGAGTCCTGCAGGGAGTGGCAGGCACTCCAGGTGCGCTTCTTCACAATAGCGGTGCCCATGCTGGGCAGCTGTGTACCAGCAGTGGTCTTTGGTTCTGGCCCAGGTGCCTGTGCATCGGGCTGTGATTCCGGTGAGCTGCTGGGAGTGCAGCTGCTCCCTCTGGCAACCTCTGCAGGTGTGCGCGGGCTTCTCCCATGCCCCTGTAGCACCACTGCCGCTGGCACGCACAGGCCGCTCCTGGGCAGCTTGGTTGCCACCATCGCGTGCTTGTGCAGACCTCTCCCTGACCCCTCTGGCATCGGGGCCGCCAGTGCATGTGGGCTGCTCCCGGGCCACCTTTTCACCACTGCCGTGGGCTCACACGGATCTTGCCTGGGCTCCTCTGGTGCTGCTGTCGCACGCAGGCCGCTCCCAGTCCCTCTGGCACCAGTGGCGCACATGGGTCACTCCCAGTGCCCTCTGGTGCCATCGCCCCCAGCACGCACTGCCACTCTCCCACTACTGGGCCAGTGTGTTGGCGTCCACACCAGTTGGGGGAATGACTGGCAGGCTGCTTAGTTCCATGAGGGACTTCAGAGATGTGCTGCTGCCCAGGGGGTTAGGGTGCCTAAAGTTCCCCGGGATTCCCAGCTGCTGGCTAAGTGTGCCAGGAAGACTTTATCCAGCTGTGGAGTCCCTGTCTCTTTAAGACTTGCAAAAAGCACTTGCTTTTCTTTTGTCTCAGGGGCGCCGGTTGTGTGGACCTGCCCACAGGTTTTGCTTTTCTGTTTCTCTAATATCCAGCACCCCATGCACCTTGTGTCTGCGCTCCAGCTGCAGATTTCTAGAGCTGATTGTTTAGCAGTCCTGGGCTTTCACTCCCTCCCCATTCCAACTCCTTTCTTCCCACCGCGTTCTGGGGGGGGGGGCATTTAGTTCCCACCTGGCCGTGGCTTGTATCTTACCCCCTTTGTGTGATGTTGAGTTCTTGCAGATGTAGATTGTTGTACTGTATCCACTGGTGTCTCTTTTAGGAATAGTTGTATTTATTGTATTTTCATAAATATATATGTTTTTGCGAGGAGATTTCCACTGAACTACTCATGCCACCATCTTGGCTCTGCCCCAGGATTCATATTCTTTTATACTGGAGATATTCTTAAAGCTGCTACCAGAATTAACCAGAAAGCATCAATTTCTGTGAATTAAATGAGTAAGGGTTGAAATGTAGCAAGCCTATTTCCATGCCAGTGGGTTAGCACAGATTTTCATTCAGGTCTTCTTTGCTTGCTTGCTGGATAAGACCTTAATGAATCCTCTCTTTCATGGTGAGAGCTATGTGCCATTTACTGTAAAACAAGAATGCAGTTCATTTGGGTATGTCTAGTTTAGGTAAAGTCTTTTCTTAAATAAAAATTGAGATTGTTTTGAGTCTTCCATAGACTGTCTCAGCTTATTTCCAAAAAGCTAGTTAGTTGGTAAGAGATGGCATCTATTCCTGAGTTTATTAGTTTTTCTTAATGTTATCTAAATGCTGGGAGACTGAGTTACCCTCTTTGGGCCCAGTTCCTGGTTCTTTGCCCAAATCCCAAACATAGTCTTTAACAGTATGTATGAAAAGAGCATTATGTCACAGACCTCGGGTTCTAGCCATCTTGTTAACTAAGAAGTAGGACAGCAAGGCATGGAAACAGTCCTGTGGGACCTGCTGTTGGCTGTTAGTTACTCTGCATGGAGATAGGCCTGCTTTATTGCCACCATTCTGAGCTTGGCTGGGACAAGTCTTCTCTCTCAAGGCCTGCCTTTCATATCCTCCTTGGCTTCACCTCCCTGGTCAGGTCTTTGCTTTGCCAGCCCCAGGTTTTGGCCTTCCTTCCCCCTCTGCAGCTTCTGTCCACTCCTCAGTGGCCCCTCTTTAGTTTTCTGTGCACTTCAGACTATTCACTGTATTTGCAGACTTTGCTTTTTAAGTTGAAATGCTCTTCCACTTAGGGAAGATTTGCTGATGACATGTATGGTATTCTGGGTTTAAAATGTAAATATGTCAGGCTACAGTTTATTGCTTCTTTGTTTATTTAAGATTTTATATAAAAAATGCTTCAAACACTAATCTTCAGAAATCTGCAATAATGTAAATTTTTATTTATCGTATTACATGTCAGATATTAGGGAAAGATAAATGGGAAAATATAGTCAAGACTATTATAGCTGATAAACATGCAGACTAATGACGTCTCTGAAAATTTTTGAAGGTTTTACCTAAGAAGAAGAAAAAAGAGGTTTCAGGCACTCTGAAAACTCCTGAGAAGACTGTGGATATCCAGGTAAGATTGTCTTCAATATTATGGGTATCAGGTATATAGAAATAATTTGACAGAGGAAGAAAATGTTCAGCTATTGTCACTTTATTAAAATTTCAAATTTAATCTTATGAATTTTTGGTAAACCTTACTCGTGATTTAGCAGATAAAGTGAGTTTAGCAAAAGTTATTGTGAATTTATTACAGTTTTTGCCTTTTCAGTAAGGTAACTGAGTCAGGGAAAAATGAAGCCTCTATTTTTATAAATGTAACACTAGTTTTCTACCAAATACCCTATAATAGAGCATATTATATTGCAATTAGTTGTAAATTTCCATAGTAGGTCTGATAAGTACCTAAACTCTTTTTGTCTGTTTTTGTTTTTTATTTTGGTGTCATTAATCTACAATTACATGAAGAACATTATGATTACTAGGCTCTCCCCTTCACCAAATCCCTCCCACATACCCCTTCACAGTCACTGTCCATCAGCGTAGTATGTGTAATTGTGTTGCTGAAGATGAAAACAGGCCTAAAATAGCATGGCACAACTTGTAGAAATAAAGAGAAGTTGATATTTGGGGGGAGAGGTAGTAAAGTCATTCCTCATCCTCCCACATTTATGTATTATAATCTTTGCTTGTTGAATCCAGGGCCCCACACCAGTTTATACACAACATATTTGAAGAAACAAAAATCTGAAATGACTGAAATGGATGATGACAAATGAAACAGTTTTCAAACAGCCATAGCTTGAATAAAAGAAATTCAGGAGACTCAGACACCTACAAGTTCAAGGAGAAAAAGATTAAGAAAAAGCAGTCAGTGATTCTGAATACATTATGTATGATATTTCTTCTGAAAAATGTGTGTGGGGGGGTTTCTATTTAACTAGATGAAATGCAATGATTAAGAATTTATGGAGAAAACTGTGAGTTCACAACAGTAAGGAGAACAGTAATTCTGACTTCCCTGTCCCTGTCCTCTCTGGACTTCATGGGCACAGCAGCTGCAGCAGCCAGGCCCCCAGCACCAATCCCTCCTGGCTTCCTCTGGTTTTCTTGGCAGATTCCATAGCTGTCTGTGGTGACTCTGCCTGGATAGAAGGGTCACCACTAGCTTCAGGCTTAAGTCCCCAACTGCTGCTTTTGCTGTTACTATCAAAGAAAATAAAATCTTCCTTAACCTTCTGTGTGGGTCTCTGTTAGGCTGTGTGCATTTAACCCATAAAGGGTGCCTTAGACTTTGACATCATATGGTTGAAACTGAAAGTTAAATTACATGGAGAGTGAGAAGGCAGTTCAAGTATGTATATATACACATATAGTCATTTTTTCAATGTTACTCAGTTTTGGGTGGACTAGCAAGGATTAATAGCTATCATTATGTATCAGTATCATCGATGTGAAACTGTATTTCAAGAGTCAAACAGTGACCAACAAATAAATACTTTCTCCAGTTTATTTGTATGTGAGCAGAACTTGGGTGTCTTTAAGTAAAATAGTGTGTCTTGACTTCTCAACTATTTTAAAGTTTCTGATATTTGAAATGTGCTTTTTGTTTAGCTAATCCAGATTCATTAAAAATGCCCATGGCCACCAATCATTTTTTTCATCCAGTATCTGTTGAATATTTAATATGGTAAGATAATGGGCTAGGTGTTCTGGTACAGAGTGCAAAAGAGAATTGGTTTTAAGTCTATACAAAGAGCAGATTTTATCTCTAGAATTGCACCTGACACAGAATATGTTCAACATGTTTTTCTTGACTGAATGAGGAACAGAGTTGCCTCCTTTTTTGAACTGTCTTGAACTTTGTGGATTTGGATGTCCCTCTGGTTTCCCCTTCAGGGAAGGCATGGGTTAAGCTTATCAATGCAGTTTCTTGTTTATCTCCCCATGGGCATATGCACTGAAACACACATGTACATATAGCAGGAAGAGCTGAATATTTGCTGTTCCCAACCTGCTCCCCACCCACCTCATTTAGGCATGGTACCATTCATCATCACCTAATGTGTAAAGAATTTTCTACTGTACCTTGAAGCTTGGTGTGTGTGAATTCATCTTCAGTGTATCATGGCCATGGATATTTATTAAAGAAATAGAATTGAAATTATGTAGTATAAAGAATATTGTCCTGTTGACTAGATTAGGATCTTCAGAAGAAAATTCATTGCGAGGTCATTTTAATTTTCAGATTTTGTAGTGAGAAAGGCTGGAATCTGGAGTGGAAAACCCCCTCAAGCCAATAAAATATGAAATGTTTGCAGTAATATGGAACAAGTAAAAAGGGTACAATTCAAAACTGTATAATCAGTATGACCATGACCATTTAAAAATGCATTTGTCTAAATAGGAAGATAAACATTTTGATAATGTGGAAGCATGTATTTCTGTTATATACAGTCAGAAGAAAAAGTTAAAGGAAAGAAAACAAGAATTAATCCAGAGACTAGGTTCCAATAAACCTATATATTTCTCCAGCTGCATATTTACCATGAAATGGGGTGGTAAATGAATAAACCAGGTTTCCTTCTATTGCTAGTATTATTTGGAATACAGTCTAGCCATATCCAAGGCAATCTGGTCCCTATGACTGGAAATTGTAACCCCGGCTGACTGAAGGTATGAGGCTTGGATAGGCTGTGCTGATGTGGATTCAGAGGCTGGCTGTAATGCAGCAAAGGCTCTTTCCTGTTCAAAACTGGCAAGGTAGCAAGCAACCTAGGGCTGTGGTCTCCCATGCAGTGACTATGATGCAGATGGCTGCCATCCTTAACCCAGAAGTGATTTTATTTCTATATATACTTTTTTTTTTTTGAGAGGGCATCTCTCATATTTATTGATCAAACGGCTGTTAACAACAATAAAATTCAGTATAGGGGGGGTCAATGCTCAATGTACAATCATTAATCCATCTCAAGCCTAATTTTCATCAGTCTCCAATCTTCTGAAGCATAACGAACAAGTTCTTACATGGTGAACGAATTCTTACATAGTGAATAAATTCTTACATGGTGAACAGTACAAGGGCATTCATCACAGAAACATTCGGTTTTGATCACGCATTATGAACTATAAACAATCAGGTCAAATATGAATATTC